CAGAAGCCCCTGAGAGGTTTCGGAGCCAAAATTGACCAATAGGAAAAGAGGAGGGCTTGGAATAAAAGATCTGGAGCAGCAGGAAAAGCGGTTCTTCTTCCCAGAGGGCAGAGCCAGAAGGAAGGCTGCTGTGGGGAAGAGACCCTCATCCTGAGGGAAGGGTGAGTAGTCTAAGGCCACTGCAGATAGTGAGCTAGGGACAATATATATTTAGACGCGTTAGGGCATTTGGTTTCTTTTCACCCACTTACTGTTATAATTCTGCACCTTGTTTGTTTGACCTCTTATAAAATAAAGTATTTGCATTGTTCACTCTGCCTGGTCCTCACACCTGTTATTCGGCCAAAAAGGAGGTCTGAAGGTCTTGGGAGGGGGCTCTAAGCCTTCTCAAGGGAACCTAAATCCAGAGTGGTGGCAGCGTCAGGTGACACCCCACCTGAGCCGTGACACCTCTGTTGGCCCAGTGCTTTGCCCCAAATTCGTAGGACCCTTCCCCACCCCCCACTTTTAAGGGCCATATAATCAACCCGCTAGATCAGAGACCAACAAGGTTTTCAGGGTATAAGTTTTTGAAGGAAGATTTGACTCTTGAAAGCTCACGTCCATCAAAATCCTGTCGGTCTCCTAAGGTGCTACTGGACTCTAGCTTTTCAGCTGCAGACCAAACATGGCTCCTCTGAAATAATAAATCTGGAATCCTGAACTCAGGAACTCCACTGTCATCACATGTCATCCGCCCTGGATTCAGCTGACAAGAGAACATGACAGCAGACTTACTTGCAAAGCAGTGCTCCCTCTAAGCTGTGTTTTGTGAGCAAAACCTGTACTTTGTGAGCTACTGGCATTAAAGTTGTGAGCGAGCGATTTGGCTGCTGCATAAATTAGTTTGCTCCGGAGCCCTCCTTCCTGAGCTAAGAGAGAGAGAGAGATTGGATTTATACCCCGCGCTTCACTACCCAAAGGTGTCTCAGAGTGGCTTACAAACTCCTTTCCCTCCCCCTCCCCACAAGAGACACCCTGTGAGGCAGGTGGGGTTGAGAGAGCTCTGACGGAAACTGCTCTTTTTCAAGAACAGCTCTTATCAGAACTACGGCTTGCCCCAGGTCATCCAGCCAGGTGCAAATGGAGGAGGAGTGGGGAATCAAACCTGGTTCTCCCAGATTAGAGTCCGCGCACTTAACCACGACACCAAACTGGCTCTCTAAGACCAAAATGTGTGAGCCAGAGGCTGAAAAACTGAGCTAGCTCACACTAACTCAGCTTAGAGGGAACGCTGCTTGGAAGTAAGTCCTGTGTCAGGAGGAGGATTGGGGCACCTGCCCAGTGAGGACTGACACCTGAATAAGCCAGGTGTCTGACCTGGCTACTCACGAGTAAGTACCTGACTGCACCTTGGTTGCATGGCTAACAGCCAGGCAAAGAGGGAATTGGAGCTGCTGAAATAAGGAGGGAGGGGCTGAAAAGGGAGGGGTGGTGTGCACACAACACAAGTTCCCCTTTGACCTTACCATTAGACTATCCCTCGTGATGTCCCCACAGTGGAAGATCTGGATGAAGCCAGGTGGGTCGTGAAGACCAGCACAACCCCACCCCCCGTTACCCTCATTAGAGATCAAGAGAAAAGTAAAACTTTTTTGGCAAATGCATTTGGCATCTCTGCTATGTAAGCTAAGCCCCCGTTCTGACCAGTTCTGATGGAGGCGGGAGAAAAGGTTGGAAGGTTGCCTGACAACTGCCCAAAGCGTTCCCCCATCCTCTCCCCGGACAAGAAATGTGTCAGGTGTCTGCTGAAGTCACCGTCAGGTGCTTCCCTCCGGGAGAAAAGTCGTTTGTCTTAGACAGCATTGTTTGTTCCCGGACAAATCATGTGGCCAACTCAGTCCATTTGTCAAAGTCAAGAAGGCATCCGTCTACAAGGCAGCTGGCGAAATGAGCTGACGGGTAGCAAGCAGAACATCTTGAGTGGACCCGTTCCCTATATGGCCTTGGAGAAAGACATATACTGCAGCAGGAAGGCGGTCTTGGGTCGACGAGACGTCCCCGATCCCCACCAGAGTCCGGACGTCCCACTGTCTCTCGCCCGCAGCTGGGCCAAAGCATCTTTCTGACCACAGACCTTTGGTGGACCTCCGTTTTCTTTGTGAATCCAGCTAGGAAGTCTCCCATCTCAGAAAAGGCCCTGGAGGCGAGGCCCGCTGTAACAGCCCTGGAGTTTCCTTCGGCGGCGTCCTGTTTGCACAACTTACGAGCGTGATAGACAAACGAGGGCCACGGAGAGAAGGAGAAAATCCTTGTGGTGTGGGGGAGGCTCCAAATTAGGGGACGTTTCACCAGTCCTGCTTCCTCCTCCTCCTCTCTTTCTTCATCTGAGCATGCTGGGGACAAGCGTGGAGGGGGCAAGAGGGAATGGTTCCACATCATCCGGGTGGACAGGAAGGAGAAAATTTTAAGAGCTGCGGAGGAGACATCATCACTGAGGCAGAGAGAGAGAGAAAGAGAGAGGAAGTTCTCTTTGGTCCAAGATGGCACCCCCTGCTGGACGGCTCCCCACAGTACTCTCCCCCACAACGCACGGCCCACTCCAAAGCTGATTAAGTGGCCATCAGGGAATCCATCTTCCTCTTCTTCTTCCTCTCTTTCTTCTCCCGTTTCCCTTTTCTTTTCTTCTCATTCTTTTCTAAAAGGCAATAGCAGAAGCAGGTCAACCCTGGATTAACACATGGAATTCACTGCCACAGAAGGTGGTGGCAGCTACAAGCATGGGCAGCTTCAAGTGGGAATTGGATCAACATATGGAGCAGAGATCCATCAGTGGCTATTAGCCACAAGGTATAGATAGGAACTCTCAGGCTGGGACAAGTGATGTACTGTATTCTTGGTGCCTTCAGCACAGGCCAGATGTGCTCCGATCTAGGGAGGCCCATCAGTAGCCTGGCTGCAGATTCCGGATTTGCAACATGGGCAGCCCCATGTAGAGAGCATTACAATCGTCTAGCCTCGAGGTGACCGTCGCGTGGATCACTGTAGCCAGTTCGTCACGGTCGAGGAAGGGAGCCAACTGCCAAGCCAGTCGCAGATGATAAAAGGCCGACTTATCAGTGGCTGCTACCTGGGCCTCCATTGCCGAGGAAGGTTCCAGGAGCACTCCCAAACTCCTAACCCCCGACGCAGGCACCAATGGTGTCCCATCGTAGGCCAGGAGCGGGAGCCCCAACCTCGAGCTGCCCCGGACACAGGACTTCCGTCTTTGCTGGGTTTAGCTTCAGCCGACTCAGTCTGAGCCAACCATCCACCTGATTTTAACACCTGACAGGGCATGTATAGAGAGAGGGACAGAGGAACTGTGTTCTAGCCATTTCTTTTGCATCCCTTGCTCAATCTGGTGCTGTGCTAAAAGTATGCTTGTGGACACTTTCTCTATAATAAACACTTTATAACTTTTGATGATGGTAGTGGTTCTCTGTACCACATAGATCTCTACCATCTTGGGCACACTATATTAAACGGAGCATCAGAGGGAAAGCAGTCAGCTGGCAAGTGCCTATTCCTCCAGTGCCACACAAGGCAGTAAATGGTCCCTGTGGTGGCCAGGCACTGGGCAGCAGGAGATGGAGAGGCCAGGCCTCAGAACTTGGAAGGGAAGCTGAGAGTCCCGACCCTCCCAGTGGGCAATTCCTTACAAAGGTCAAGGAGTGGCAATGGTTACCTGAGAGAGAAATGAAAAGCCTCTCCAGGTGTTGGGAAAACCTTGGATGGCAGGGTAGAACACGGCCTGCAGGCCAGGGTGGGCCCATTCCATCACAGCAGCCTTCACCACATCCTGTGGCAGCAAATTCCACTAATTTAACTATTAGCCACAAGGTATAGATGAAACACTGTCTGAGGCAGTGATACTCTGGCTTCTTGGTGCTCAGGGAGGCCACAGTGGGAGGGCTTCTGGTGTTCTGGCCCCACTGCTGGACCTCCTGATGGCACCTGGTGTTTTTGGCCACTGTGTGACACAGAGTGTTGGGCTGGATGGGCCCCTGGCCTGATCCAACATGGCTTCTCTGCACATTCCCCCTCCCCACAATAGCTAGCAATCCACAACAGTGGAGCCTGAGCGGTGGGTGTTGCCTTCTGACACACTTCCGGTGATGTCAGGGGGTGTGGCACATGCAAATGAGTTATGCTAATGAGTTATGCTAATGAGCTCCTGCACCTCTTTTTCTACGAAATGACCCCTGCCTCTAGTACTGGAGGTGTTAGATGCCTATCATGGTCAGTAGCCACTGAGATCCCTGTCCTCCTTCCCATTTGCCCTCCCACCGAGCCTCACCTCCAGGGCAGTGTTTCTTCATCCGGCACTTCCTGGACTCCGTCAGCGTCGGGCACATGGCCAACTCTTCTTTGCTACTCCTGACGGCCTCGCGGGCCCTTGTAGTTGTGCCCCACTTGAAGCCGCAGGTCCTGCCCTGGTTTGTGCAGGGGCTCCAGTTGGCCCAGGGGCCCGTCTCGCACTTTTCTGCGTGGGACGAGAGAAGAAGACAATCCCTCAGGCAAGGCCAAAGCAGCCTTGGCACTCCCAACCAATGTTCCCTCTAAGCTGTGGAGTCTTCTGAGCAAGAATTCTACTTTGTGAGCTACTGTCATTAAAGTTGTGAGTGAGTGATTTGGCTGCTGTATAAATTAGTTTGCTCTGGAGCCATCCTTCCTGAGCTAAAACAAAAATATGTGAGCCGGAGGCTAAAAAACGGTGAGCTAGCTCACACTAACTCAGCTTAGAGGGAACACTGCTCCCAACCACATTCCGATCAGCTGGGCTTGGCCAAATTTTGGCCCTGTTGTACTGACAGATGTTCTCCAAACATGGCTGGCTCAGTGACTCGTGGCCATAATCTAACAGGCCACCCTAGCCACACTCTCAGCGGCTTCTGACCGTCAAGTTCTGGCTGCGCCTTCTGTTTAATCCTGACCCAAATTCCTTTACCTTTTTAATGCTGACGGATCATGATGAACCTAATTGGCTGAAATTAGTCCAAAAATATATATATTAGGTCCTTAGGAATACATCTAGATCTGCTTTACTTATCATCTGCCTCCACAACAGGGCTATTTTTGGGCAGGAACACACAGGAATGGAGTTCCGGCTGGCTCCTGAGTGGGCCACGCCCAACAGGAACTCATTAGCATAATAGGCCACACCCAACAGCAGAAACTCATTAGGATTGGCTACATTAGGGGTGTGTGGCCTAACATGCAAAGAAGTTCCTGCTACAACAAGAGACTCCTCTATATCTTTGGACTATAATAGCGTCCAGAAGACCTCAAAGTCCACAAAAAAGGCAGAGGATGTCCCAAAGCACAAATAAACTTCTAACAGCTAAAAATGTCCTTCCTAGGTATGCCAGCTGTTTCAAAGCAATCTTCTTCAGTTGTATCGCTGAAAATGGAACCCAGTTTCCACAGTAATGTAGGCACAGCTCATAACTCAAATGGAATCTGTGGTTCTCAAAGGTTATCCACATTACTGCAGTGTCTCAGCCACGGAGAATGCTGCCCAATTGTTTTTTTTAAAAAATGCAGGTGGATGCATGCACTTATGCGCATATAAAGGTAAAGGTTCCCTTGCTCGAAAGCCAGTCGAGTCCAACTCTAGTGTTGCGGTGCTCATCTCTGTTTCAAAGCCGAAGAGCCAGCGCTGTCCGAAGACATTTCCGTGATCATGTGGCCGGCATGACTAAACACCAAGGCGCACAGAACACTGTTACCTTCCCACTGAAGTGGTACCTATTTATCTACTTGCAATGTCTTGCTTTCGAACTGCTAGGTTGGCAGGGGCTGGAACTAGAGACGGGAGCTCACTCCATCATGCGACAACTCAGGTCTCGAACGGCTGAACTACTGATCTTCCACAGCCTGCAGTTCACTTGAGCCATCGAAGCTCCTTATGCGCATATAGGCAATAGCTAAAAAAAACAACCCAGTGACAGAAATGGATCTGCAGGTTCAGATGTCTCTTCTGGGTTCCTTTTGCTACAGAAGAGTTCAGATGTCGGAAAACCCGGAGGGAACTGCAAACAACCCGTTAATACCGGACTTTCCCCAGTATCTGTTTATTCCTCTTCCACTGAGGAACAACACGGGCTGCCTACGACTGTGCCACAGGAGGCAGATGTTCTCATCCGGAGGGGCCCATTTAACCTGCCCAGGTAAGGCTACTATAGCGCCACAAGTTGCATGCGTGACCGCAGCCTTTGTGTGTGTGATCGCAGCAGCCCTGGAGTGAGGCCATGCATCACTTGAGCAGTAACCCTTCAATGATGCAGGGAGAAGATCTGATCAACACAATGCCTTTTACAACGGACACGTTGTTTAAAATATTTCCTGGCTTACGCACAGTTTCCCTTCACTCATACTGGGAGGATCCTTGTGCTGTGATGGTACTTGCTGCTGAAGTGACTAAATTAGGTCTGGAGTGGCCAATCGGAAGCAAAAATTCCATGTGGGGAGGCACCATGGCACCCGGTGTCATGGGCGTGGATGAGGGATGAGGGAGAGCTGAGAGAGCTGCAAGAAGAAGCAAAAATTCCATGTGGCCCTGACCACTTTCTACAAACAATTGGGGGGGGCACCAGGAAAGGTGTGGGGAGGCACCATGGCACCCGCTGTCATGGGTGTGGATGAGGGAGAGCTGAGAGAGCTGCAAGAAGGAACCGCAGTTGGCCCCTCTGAAGCATCAGAGGAGGGTAGCTGGCAGTTGCCTGTAACAGCAGTCGTCACACCTCGCCCAGATAAGGGGGAAGAACTGCAAGCTGAAAGTCCTTCTGACTCACCCCCACCTGTGACTCTCTGAAGGGAGCTACTGCGGCAAAGCTTAGCAACCAGGCGACGAGAGGCCAGGCTACAGGGGAGACATTCAGCTAGCCCAAAGTTCTAACAGGAGCCTAGGCGATCATGCAGTTGACTAACTGGTAGCAGCATTTAACTCCATGCTCTGGGCAGTACTCTTTATGGAAGGAGCGGGTCAGCTTGGTGCTGCTTGCAGCTACTTCGGCTCAGCTCTTGCACCTAGACCTTTGGACTCCCTGGCTTTGGACTTGGCTCTGTGTTCCTGGCTCCTGACCCCCGTCTTGGCTTTTGGGACTATGCTTCTGGTTGGTGATTTTGGATTTGGCTCTGTGTTTCTGGCTCCTGAGTCAGTGTTCCCTCTAAGCTGAGTTAGTGTGAGCTAGCTGACAGGTTTTTAGCTTCCAGCTCACACATTTTTGTCTTAGCTCAGGACGGTTGACTCCAGAGCAAACTAATTTATGCAGTAGCCAAATCACTTGCTCACAACTTTATTGCCAGTAGCTTACAAATAGGAATTTTTGCTCACAAGACTACACAGCTTAGATGGAGCATTGCTCCTGACCCCAGATGGGCTTTGGACTTTGCACTGTCTTCATGGCTCCTGACCTTGGTCTGTTCTGGACTCCCTTTGACTGGCACCCCCAGCCCGTGACACCCGGGGGCACCATATTAGGAACCCCTGGGATAAACAAAGGGTATCCTACATAGGCAGACCCTGCCCTCCCAATCCGGCAAAGTCCATCCAGTTCCTACCTGGAGTACAGGCACAAATCCATCCTGGTCCTTCTCCCTTGTGGAAGGAGCCGGAGTCTATTTCCCCAAGGAGCAGAAGCGGCTTACCTTGGCATTCCCGGGTGCTGGACTGGGCCAGGGTCTCAGGCGGGCACGCACTGAAGCATTTCCCTTTGTGCAGGAAAAAGTGCTCTTTGCATTTCATGCAGAAATCCTTGCTGAAGCAGCTCTCGCAGCTGGGGGACCTGCACTCTGCACCGGGGTGGGGGGTGGGGGAGACAACGAGACGCAACGGTGGGTGACGTTTTACAACAACTCGCTTGGCTTCTAGAGAGAGAGAGGGCCTGACCCAGTCTCCTCTGCGCCCTCGTCGAGTGGGTCAGGAAGCACCCAAGGGCCCACTGAGAGCTGTGTGGAGGTTTTAAGCAGCAGCGCCCAGCCTTTTGTCTAAGATAGATCTGTTGTTAACCCTTTTGTTATCCGTATGCTAATTTGCTGCCATTCGTAGGTCTTACCGACTGTGTCAGGAAGAAGAGGAAGAGGAAGAAGCAGAAAAAGAAGAGGAAGAAGAAGAGGAATAGAAAGAGGGAGGAGGAGGAGGAGAGTTGGATTTATACCCCTCCAGCCAACCATTTCAGATATGGAACAGGAAGAGAATTTGGCCAGCGTATTAAGAAGAACTTATCCATTTTAGATATATTCCATTCTACAGGGGGTGAGCAGGTCCAGAACTAGAATCCAGCCAGAAAGAAAGAACATAAGAGAAGCCAGTGTTGGATCCAGCCCATGGCCCCTCCAGTCCAACACTCTGTGTCACACAGTGGCCAAAACCCAGGGGCCACCAGGAGGTTCACCAGTGGGGCCAGGACACTAGAAGCACTCCCACTGTCCCCCCCCCCAAGCACCAAGAAGACAGAGCATCACTGCACCAGACACAGGAATATAAGAGAATCCATGTTGCATCAGGTCAATGGCCCATCCAGCCCAACACTCTGTGTCCCACAGTGGCCAAAACCCAGGTGCCATCGGGAGGTCCACCAGCGGGGCCAGGACACTAGAAGCCCTCCCACTGCCCCCCCCCAAGCAACAAGAAGACAGAGCATCACTGCACCAGACACAGGAACATAAGAGAATCCATGTTGCATCAGGCCAATGGTCCATCCAGCCCAACACTCTGTGTCACACAGTGGCCCAAACCCAGGGGCCATCAGGAGGTCCACCAGCGGGGCCAGAACTCCAGAAGCCCTCCTGCTCTTGCCCCCCAAGCACCAAGAATGCAACGCATCACTGTCCCAGACATAAGAACACAAGAGAAGCCATGTTGGGTAGCCAGTGGCCCATCCAATCCAACACTCCAGTCCAACACAGTGGCCAAAACCCAGGAGCCATCAAGAGGTCCACCAGCAGGGCCAGAATCCTGCCACATTGTGTATCGCACATGCCATTTCAGCTGTGCACGTTCTGATTCGGAGTGTCTTCTCTCCGCCATGAAGGATCATTTCTGAGAGTAGTCATGCCCACCTGCAGTAAAACAGTTAGACTGGAGTCCAGGAGCATCTTTGAGACCAACAACATTTTTGGGGTGTGACCTTTTGAGAGTCAGCGCTCCCTCTGTTGGACCCGAGCAGAAAGGGAACTCTTTGAGAGTCCTTTTACCCCAGTCAGGAGGTGGGGAGGGGTGTTGCAAAGGATGCTTGCAAAGGATGCAGAGTCGCCACACCTCTTGTCATCAACTCACACACCCCAAAACCTTGCTGGTCTCTAAAGCGCTTGTGGACTCCAATCTAGCCATTCTGTTTGCCAGTCTCAGATGGTTAGCCGTGCTGGCCTACAGTGGAACAGCTAGACTGGAGTCCAGTAGCACGTTAAAGACCAGCAAGACTGGGGGGGGGGCATTATGAGCGTCTGAGAACCCAAGTTTCCTTTGTCAGATACTCTGAAATGAAATTAAATGAATGAGCAGTAGGCATAGAACTACGGTGCGGTGGCTCATTGCTTAAGACACTGAGCTGCAGACTGGAATGTCCATAGTTTGGCAGTTCGAGACCTGAGTGTCGCGTGACAGAGTGAGCTCCAGTCTCTAGCCCCAGTTCCTGCCAACCTAGCAGTTTGGAAGGGAGAAACTGCAAGTAGATAAATAGGTACCACTCAGGAGGGAAGGTAACGGCGTTCCGTGCGCCTCGGCGTCTAGTCATGCGGGCCATATGACCACGGAAATGTCTTTGGACAGCGCTGGCTCTTTGGTTTGGAAACAGCAATGAGCACTGCCCACTAGAGTTGGATTTGACTAGCTTTCGAGCAAGGGAAACCTTTACCTTTACTTAGGCATAGAACAGATAAGAGGAAGTCCTTCCTCACCCAAAGAGTCATTAACACGTGGAATTCAGTGCCACAGAAAGTGGTGGCAGCTACAAGCATAGACGGCTTCAGGAGGGGATTGGAGAAACATCTGGAGCAGAGGTCTGTGAGTGGCTATTAGCCAAAAGGTATGGATGGAACACTCCATCTGGGGCAGTGACGCTCTGTATTCTTGGTGCTTGGGGGGAAAGAGTGGGAGGTGGACCTCCTGATGGCCCCTGGGTTTTGACCACTGTGTGACACAGGGTGTTGGACTGGATGGGCCACTGGCCTGATCCAATGTGGCTTCTCTTATGTTATTGTGTCTGGGGCAGTGATGCTCTGTCTTTTTGGTGCTTGGGGGGCCACAGTGGGAGGGCTTCTGGAGCTCTGGCCCTGCTGGTGGACCTCCTGATGGCACCTGGTGTTTCTGGCCACTGTGTGACACAGAGTGTTGGACTGGATGGGCCATTGGCCTGATTCAATATGGCTTCTCTACGAGCCACAAGGTATACATGGGAAACTCTGTCTGGGGCAGTGATGCTGTTTCTTCTTGGTGCTTGGGGGGACAACAGTGGGAGGGCTTCTGGAATTCTGGCCCTGCTGGTGGACCTCCTGAGGGCACCTGGTCTTTTTGGCCACCTCATGACATAGAGTGTTGGACTGGAGGGGCCATTGGCCTGATCCAACATGGCTCCTCATATATTATTATGTTTGGGGCAGTGATGCTCTGTCTT